CCCCAAAACCCCAAAACCCCAAAACCCCAAAACCCCGTTTAGTGAGCTATTATTGAATATTAAAGTATCTTTGAGAAAATATGCAAACAAACGTAAAGTGAGAAAAAGCTTATTAAGCATGATAGTTATTTATTTGTGATCCTGTGGGAAATCTTCAGCACTTGGTCTGTACATACCAACAACAACACAATGGTCTCTTTCATAAGGCTCTAAGGTCATTTGTTCCATTGGTCTGAATTTAGCTTCTCTCATTTTTTGTACTTCAGCAGCAAATACATGTTGGGGAGCTTTTGTGGAATCTACACAATTTGCCTTGATGGAGATCACGAAATGTCCACGATTCTTTAAGAACATCTCAGCATTGAGTGCAAGAATTCTTGATTGATCTGGCTGAGCAACATCTTCGAAAACAACATCTACCATCGGAACAAGCATTCTATATTTTTTAGGATGTCTGGCATCTTCGATAATGGGAACAACATTAGTTCTCTTTTTAGCCATATTTACTAAATCTCTTCCGGATCTCTTACTGAATTCAACAGCATAGACAGCTCCTTCTGGTCCTACCAAATCAGAGACATGTGAGACGGTAGTTCCTGAAGCAGCACCTAGATAAAGCACTTTAGATCCTGGCTTAATGAAAATGTTTTCAACTCCTCCAACAATAGATGCAGCGATTTTTGATCTAAATGGGTTCCATACTCTATATTCAGTCTTCTCTCCTTCCTCTCCTGGAACGCTCACTCTCTTCTCATTGTAAACACTTTCTCCTGGAGTAGAGTTTTTGGTACAAAGTGCATCCTCTTTACCTCTTAGAATGAAAACACCCTCAAATTGTTCATGAGGCTCAACTACGACTTGGATTCCTGCTCTCATTCCAACGCCACCACGGCCTCCACGGCCACCTCTGCCGCCTCTACCTCCGAAGCCGCCTCTGCCGCCTCTGCCACCGCGGCCACCGCCACGGCCGCCACCACGGCCTCCTCTTCCGCCTCTGCTGCCACCTCTTGGGTTGAAGCCTCCTCTGCCTCCTCTTGGTAATCCCATGTTAAGTTAATTTATTACAAATCTTCAATTTATTATTGTAAACACGGGGTTTTGGGGTTTTGGGGTTTTGGGGTTTTGGGGTTTTGGGG